AGTGCGAAGGGTTAATAATCCAATGAATCAATAACATCTCCATTCTCGCTTCATAGCTGCTCGAAGCCCACTTTCCAAGGTTTCATCCGAAAACAAAGTTGTCAGCTTTGTTCTTTGGAAGATTCGACGCTACAACGAAGACAACCAAGTTCGTTAAAAACCTACCGATCAACAGATTAGGCGAGTTCGCGGGGAGCGATCTTTCGCTCGCGCGCTGCGGAGCGAGTGATACGCGCAGCGTATACCAGTAGCGATCAGAAATATCGAGCCCGTTGATGGTCCGAGGGAAACGGCGATCGTATGGACGCTTAATTCAACGATTCCGCCGATAACGGAAGCCCTTGAAAATAAACTTGCCCCCTCCGGGTGGCCGGGGAGGGAAACGACCGAGTCAATATTGTCTTCCCGTACTAAGCACGGCTGAAGCGCAGCCCGCGAGACCGTGAGAGGGACGGAGAGGGGACGAGCGGAATCCCCTAGCTGGAAACTTTATATATCCGGGTGCGTAGTTGAGAACAAACTTGACGGAATCCAACAATAAGCCGAAGTTCCGTCTCTTACGGTGTTTTCCTTCTTCGAACGGCTAAAAATAAATACGCGGCAACATCGTCGACGGGAAAAGAGTCCCCCCGCTCGATCATCCTGCTACCACGCGACGGACAGAGCCGAGGAAAGAGAAAAATCGCTGCACCGAACTCAGGAATCTGTCGCTCGGAATATTAGGGTGGCGTTAACTGCGGCCGAGGCGTTGATCGCCTCCCTGGCTTCCCTGAAGCGTTCCGATGTAATCTGCCGAGTAATTGACGGTTAAATGTGTCCAACGACGAGCGCGTATAAATCACGTTTTTATAGATAGAGGTTGCTCCGACGGTACCAGCTTATATTTATTCTATTGTGAGCGCAGGGACACTCGGGCTTTCGTGGTACCATGTGGAATGTATATTACGGAACTTTCTCGGAGGGTAGTTCTGCAACGAAGAGGGGATGTTGGAAGAAATAAACATTTTGGGAAGATGGGAAACATAAATGGAGCGGAGTGATATTTGGAATTTATACTATAATAGTGGAGAATCGACCGTGACGCGTTCAAGGATCCAGTAACGTATCAATCACACGATAAATATGTACGTACCCGGTGTTCATAACTTCGAATCCCTGTTCCGTAGAGGCCGACCTCGATTTAATTAGAATTTAAGAACAAAGGTAATCGAGTTAGGGACAGAGTTTGCCGGTTGCTCGCGAACGACACCAGAATCTGGCCGGACTTTTCGGAAGTATGTAACTTTCGGCGACTCGACCGCAGCCGAGAATAAAGTCTCGAGTATCCGATGCTCCGGCCCGGCCGCGGGAGGTCGCCGTGATAAAATCTAATGAGACGCGGAGAGAGAAGCTCGGAACAATCTGTGGCGAGCAACGAAATTACGGAATCCCGACCCTGTATTTTCTTCGCAATTATTTATTAACGGACCCCTCGTGTAGATCCTTTTCTGTCTCTCGATCAATGTTTCCACGGGAAACGACCGTTTCGATCGGTGCACGTTATTCATTTGCTTTTTATCTTTCAGGAAACCTCAGTGGAGATTTTATATGCACGAGTGGCAAAGTGTGTATCTATAAATTGCATTCGCCGTTTAATTTCCCTTTGGGTTTGCGGCAACCGCTCGGTTTTATTTTCAAATGTGGGACACTTATTTTAACAGGCTATTCCCTATCCTTGTAACATCCTTCAGTAAACCGTGAAAACATTTTTCAGACGAATCTTGCGTACTTCGTCGGTCGTATTAGTCATCCACTGTATCATGACCACGTCGGATTGACGAGATTTATCTGATAATGTCCGAATTGGATCAAACCGTCGGATTCTTCGCCCAATTTCACGAAGATCTCGAAGGCGTCGGCGTCTCTCGAGTCCTCTCGAAGTTTCGGCTTCGATCGAGGGACTTCAAAGTAAGAAATTCGTCGATACACGCGTTACTGGAGAAGGTAAAACCGGAAACATACGGGCCCCGGCGTTCGCGTTCTAATTCCGAAAGACAGGATACTACAATGGCGGAGCTCCGTGAGAGAGGAGCCTCTCAAAGCCGGGTACGAGCCACGAAATTTGATCAGCTCCAATTCAGAAATATCGACAACAAATAACTGACAATGGGGAACCCGTAAGAGCGATAAAGGAATAGCTACGAACTTTGCGGGAAACCACGGAACACGCCACGGTTCATTTTTCCATAGCGCTGGGGAATTTTCTTTGAATTCGAAGAATCGACGATGGACCTCGAAGCGTGGGATGCGAAAACGGAAGAACGGTTAGAATAATTTTCCTCGTGTATCCTCCTTTATTTAACACATCGAAACGATGAACATTGACGAAAGTCGATCGAGATCGACGCAGACTCTCCAGCATCCGAGAGTGAACTTATGGAGCAATCATATATGGGTCATGTGTTCGTAAACGAATTAACGCTGGATTTACTAAGGTCTATTCTAAATAAATATTTAAAAAATTCAGTATCCACCAAATTGACGGGGTATCCATCAAATCAAGAGCCAAACAATTTTCTAGACTACCGCAAGCCCCAAGCCGAACTCGTCAAGTGTAACATCGATATTAATCTCTCGCTCGTTACACAATGGTTGATCTCATTTCCTCCGGACAAAAACATTCGAAGCTCCAGCATCGTCTGGCCAGCAGCGGCGTCGCACTCCGCAGAATTCAAAAACGACTCCGGAATTACCGGGAGGCAAAATTATCCTGACCTACATACGGTCCGCGCGACGTCGAGCGTGGAAATCTGTGATTCTAACTTCCTTCCGCGAGGATCACGTCCGCGAGACCGGGCTCCGGCGCATAAAGCGGGACTTGCCGTGGAAAACAAAGGTAAGGATTCACGAATCTCGTTTCCCCGGCATCGGGCAACGGAACAACTTCAGCCGGCTGCGGAACAATTCATCGCGCAGGAGACGTAAACAGCGAACCGTCGAATATCTGGAGCCGCGCGGCGCGGCGCGGCGCGCGCGGTTGCGTCAAAGGGGTTGGCCGCGTGTTGAAGTCTCGCTCGAAGAGAGAGGGAATCTTTTGTGAGATGATAAGAGGGAGCGAGCGAGCTAGTCAAGAATAGAGAATACGCCCGCATCGATGTATATCGCTTTCCTTTGTCAAATGTTCCCCGGGTGCACGGCTGGCCGGCGTATCGTTCGCATTAGCCTCTTTACGATCGATTAATTCCTCGGCCGCGGAACAAAACATCTCGCCGTGTGAACGATCTATAAAGTCGCCGGCGGCGGCGCACCGTCACCGGCTTTGTCGGCACGCGCGCGCTACGGACGACAAAGCGCGCGCGATAAAAATACCTTCATAAAAAACTGCGACCCGGCCACGGAACGATTAGCGAGCGCGCGCGATCGCGGCTCGATCGCGCCCTCCAATTTTTTCGCGATCTGCCCCGAAATGGACCGTCCCACGCCCGGCGGTCATCGATCCGACGGGATCACAATGGTGTACGACCGGACTAATCGTTATCCGCATTCCGTGGGAGATTCCGACGGTGGAACTCCTTTTCAATCTTTCGTTGCGGCTTTTAGGTTAACCCTTTGCACTCCGAACAATTTTTAATATCTCTCGGCAACTCCGAGTCGTTTTTACCGTGAGGAGCGCGCCTCTATGGACGACGTCGTTAAAAGAAACACGTATACATTTTAAAGGTATCAGCTCGTCTTACAATGTCGCAACGACGGAGTGCGAAGAGTTAATTATGGCGCTTTAACATAATTGTATTATTTGATTTTGGAATGACGAGTAATCAATGGTTCGACGATATTACTGTGCCGCTCTGCGTGTTTATATTAGATTTGAATGGATTGCAGTAGACTCTGTAGAGACGAAGGTCAGACAATATTTGAGCTGTGGTAAGATATTTGTTGACGAAGGGAGCATTATGGTTCTATTCCTCCGACATTCATCGTGTTTGCTCCCTGTGACTCACTCTGTTTCCTAAAATTGAAAATCGGTGTCGAGGGAAGCCACGTTTACTCTTTGCAGGAGGCCGAGGCAAAAAATCATGGGCCAGATGAATGTCTTAGCCGTCCAACATTCCGACGCTGTTTCGACGAGCGTGAAACGGAGTATTTTGTATCGCGAGGAATTCAGTGGTTATTATTTGTACTAGGAACCGCTGTTATCGCGTCACTCTATTCGTCCAACGTTCAAAGCGTAAATCGCAATGAAAACGGTGGTCGAACGCGAGAGCTCTCCTTTATATTTTATGTCTTTCGCAATTGATTTGATGGTCTTTGCCGGCGACCAGTCGTCCCGAAAAAAATCGCCGCGTTTCACGTTTCGCGCGGAACGAAACGCGGCTGATTAAACCGATCCGCGTACTCGAAACGACCGAGCGAATTGCATTTATTTTCGCAGGAAGGAAAAATCGCTCGCGTTTCAATGAGGCGCCAAACATTTGGCCAACTCGTCAGTAATGTCCCCTTTGCGGAGAATCGAGCAACAAAGCGGGAAGAGTGGCCGCAAGCACGCGCATCTGTTTAATTCGAACTCCAGTGTAAACAGTGAGCGAGCACACTCCGTCAGTGACGTTTCCGAGCCGCATAAAAACGTCGCTCATTTCGAAAAGGGAATTAGCAGCTCGCGGGACGGTCAACAATGAAAGAAAGCGCGCATCGATTGCCGATCGGGGACCCGAGGAATCGACGGTGCCCCGAAGATGTCGGGGCCCGAGCGGTTTCGAGCGCGAATTATCGGGCTCATGTCTCGCGATTCCCGAATTAACGGTCCTGGCTCACGGGCTAATGAAAATGTACAGTTAAATTAGCAGCGTCGACCATTTGGGTCTTGGCCAAGCGTGAAATTTACAAGCGCGATAAATTCCGGCCGCGAGCTCGCGGCTCGGAATTGTCCGTAGGAATCCGCGACAGGTGTAACGAGCCGCGGGTCTCGTCTTTCGTCGGCGTCGCGATCGAGGCACGCGGAAGTAGAAGATCCATTTACTCACTGTTTCGGAGATCCACACCGGCGAATCCCGAAGAACGGTGCGGCACCGCCGGCAATCTCCCAAGAAGTTGGACGCGCGGCTCGCAGTCGAGGGAAACGTTGAGAAAACAGGTCGCCGGGAAGCAGCGGCGGTTAAGCACCAAATACAAACAACCGTCGATCGTCACGTGCCACACAGAGTAACGCACTAGAAGGATCCAGCAGCCGATTCTCCACCACGGATAAACAAAACACTGTGAACGTGCCGCGGGATCGACGAGATCGACGACCGTTCCCGCCCCCGTGCGCTCCGCCGGCAATTGGCTCGCACTGAAAACACGACATCCACCTTGACACCGTCCTTTATCCTCGAGATCGTCAACGGGACCGTGGCCGGGCCGTCGCTGTTTCGGCGGGTCGCGACGGAGCTTGGCAACGGTTCCGGTCCCGGCGATTCATCGAGCGTCGATCGAATTCCCCGCGAAACACGACCGTCCGAGAGCCCGAAGGACGCGGGATCTCTCGAGCCACGCGGGGCTCGAGACGGGAAATTCGTCGATGCGAGCGGGAGGAGAGACGGACACGAGGCGAATCAAGCGGCTGCGAGCGGAGGGCTGAAAAGGCGAGAGGCGGGAGAAAAGAATGGCGGAGAAGAAGAATGGAAGAATCGACGCGGGTAGCGGACGAGAACAGGTCGGAAGAGAGGAACGACCGACACGGCGACGGTCGCGTGGTATCGATTCGTGGCCGTGGAAAGCCGGCGAGGTAGCCGAGATGGAGAGAGAAAGAGAGAATGATGAAGAGAGAGAAAGACGGGGGTGGAAAGGGGGAGAGAGAGCAAGCTTTTTCTTCGCGTTCTCTCCCTCTTTTCCCTAGTGTACTAGTATGCAAGTGAACTTTCCCCGTCTCTCCCTCTCGCGGTCCGTCTCTCCGCCGGTCTCTTCATCCCTCTCACCGTAACGTTTGCAACCCTCGTGCGATGCGGTCGGCACACGCCACTCTCCAGTTCGTGAGAGAGAGAGAGAGAGCGAGCGAGCGAGCGAGAGCACAGTAGTCAGTGTCTCTTATCCGGACAATAATCGCGCGCGATCGAGTCGGCCGGGAGTCGATCGCGTTGCGTCAACGTTGACGGCGACGGTAACGACGGACACGACGACGACCACGACGGAGGCAACGTGCGTAACCGGAACGACGCGTACGTGCCACGAAAGAGAGACGCGTCTCCCTCGAACGTCCGGGTCGGACTGAGCGCGGCGGGGCGATCCCGAGACCCACGGAGTCGTTCGAGGTACCGACTACCCCCACCCGGAGGAGCCACGCTTCGGCTTTCCCAACCCTCGTCCTGCGCTCGCCTCCCCTCGACTGGAACCCCGACCGGCAGCGTAGCGATGGCCGTTCAACGTCCCTCCGAGCCGAGTTCCCGAACAATTTCGCATTAGGACACTGGACAATTAGCCTTTCGCGGTCCGAAGTGTTCTTGGCTCTCCGCTTCGGAACTTTCGACGGTGTTACACTTCGACAACGTCGCATCGAGTTTTTCCAACTTTCCCGGAGGAACTCGCGAACGGCGCAGCTATCGAGATTTCAATTGAGAGCTGATTTCTTTAGTAATTTCCCCGGGAAACGTCTGTTACCTTTTTAATCATCGGCGAACCCGGGAATGTTTCGGGAACGCTCGAGACCGTTTGGGAAACTTTGAGGTTACAGCTGCGACATTATGAATAATTATAGCGGAAATTAGAGGGATACTTGACTGTTGGGGTGAAACGAAGGTTCGCTTTGACAGTGCGCCAGAAAGGGTTTGAGGTGCGCGTTCGTTTCAGGGTAGAGCCATCGCGAGGGAATTTCTCGTGAACGAATTCTGTCTTGCGAGTAACGGTGAGTTCGACGATGCCGTGACACTCGCTGTCGACACTGTGTCCGCTCGTGAAAAATGCTCTCCACGGTAACACGCTACAGTTTTTCTGTAAAATGGACACGTAGATCTAGAGCATGCCCCCAGTGTAGGACGCGGGTCCCGGTGCAACTGGTGGCGCGTGGAACACTGCTTTTACGAGTATCGTCAACCCCCTGTTTTGAAATATTTTCCTCCTCCGAACGGAGTATTTCGGAGTCCGGACTCGCGATGATGTCCGGTAATTTCGAGTTTGAGTGGTGGGGAATTTTCAGAGTGGGAAAGATATGTATGCTTGGGCGAAAGTTCGCAGTCGAATCGTATATTCCTGGAAGCATAGACGTACTACGCGAATCTACGAGTTTCTGCGAAGAGGAATAATTCTATTCCCGAAAGACGAGTAATTAAAAGTTTCAGAATCTGTTTACGACGATGCCAGTAAAATCATTAAACAATTCTAAACCTAATTCAACGCAAACGTCGCGTGAAAATGGCACAAAGATTCCAAGCTTTCCATTAACAAAGGACAGAAGATGAAACGAAATCTATCAGCAGTCATTAACGAAACAAGTTTCATGTTTTCTAAGGAACCGTAGATACATTGAGTTTCCAGGATTGACTCAACGACTCTAAATGCCTCGAAGCCATCGCTACCTGCAACGTACCCATTCGTGTTTGCCGCGCTCCGTTCCCCTCTGCCCGCTCTCATTCTTTCTCTGTTCCTCCTGCCATCTCGCTTTCCCTACCTATATTTCCCTACCCCTCCACGTAACTCTGTCTCGGTTAGCCCGCTTTTCACCCTCTTTCTCCGGCCGCTACCCCCTCGAACAGCGGTGCGCGCTTTCGGAAACCGTCTCCCTTCTTTCCCCGGCACTCGGCGTTTCTTCGTTCGGCCCTCGCCGCGGCACATTTCGTCCCTGCCTTCGGGGATTTTAAGGCCCGCTCAGCCGCAGCGTTGCCGATTTAGCGGGAGCCCCACTCTTGACAGTGGACTAATCTTTTTATTGATTTCGTTTAGGACAACACCTACCCTTCCACCTGTACACGCGCCACCAACCGCTGCCTCTTGTTTTCGTTGTCCTTCCGCGACTTAAGCCGGGTGAAACGCGGTGATTGTGGATTTGGAAATCCGATACCAACATGTAGGACCTTAGAAAAAGGATTCAATACACTGATACCGCTTGCCAAGAGAAGTAACGAATGTTCCGCAAACATAGAAGCTAATATCGATATTTCTACTGTACAATCTACTCCTTTATTTAAGAACATTCGTGTCGCCGTTGCTTGTAATGCAGCTTGTAACAAGTAGAAACCAGGATTCGCCAAGTAAAATTGGAAATAGGATTATACAATTGGATTAAAGCTGTCTGAAATTCTACAAACTGGACCGGAATTTATTTAAAATAGTCGAACGCGATCGGGCTGGTGGAAGCGAAACAACTTGCACGGAAACGTCCGGTGAAATAACGTCGATCCTGATTGATTAATAAATTGCGGGTCCGCCATTATTTCGGCTCGACGAGCGACTTGGCGCTAAGGTCGCGTTTTGGTACATTGCCATGGCATCGCGGTTCCTGCCTCGACGCCGTCCCCCTCCACCCCCCATCCATCCTTCTTTTTTAATACTATCTGTCACTGATATATCGCGCGTATCTGAATCACGCGAACGGTGATTTATGCCGCTCATTGCGCAAGAAGGATCGGGGAGTCTCTCGAAGCTACTGCTGCGCGAATACATCTTACGAATGGGGTGGCCACCTCCGGGAAACCTAAACTCGCCAATCGCATAATGGATTCCCGTATATATCTTTGGGCTTGGCCAAACGCGAGGGAATCAAGATTGAGACGGACGAACGCCGGCTGCGAGGTTCGATTGGCCGGGTCGAAGGTGGTTGCGGCGATGCCTCCGGCGCTTCTCCGCCGCAGTGGAAAAAATAATACAGAAATTTTTGGCGCCCCGAATTGTCTCGTATCCACGTTATTCTTCTCCGACACTTTGATCTTACGATTATCTCTTATTTCTTCTTCTTTTCTTTGTTAATCGCGAACTACACGCATATACAATTAACATATTCTGTTAGTTCAGCAATTGATCAATGAGAATTCGGTTGATTGCATCTTTCACTCGCATGGTCGTGTTAAGCGACCACGATATTAAGTTCGTATGCAGATGAATGTGTGTATATTCCAATTCATATAGGGAATATATTAATTTCAATTAAGGAAACAAAATTAAAACACCTTCGGACGGAGTATATGAAATCGAATTAATTCATAATATAAAGCTTCGCGAATCAACTCCGCGAGCTTTTTACGATCAACGGGAATACCTGCATTTTATCACAACGAATCGAAACAATTCAATAAAGTCTGCCAGTGCACACATCCGCCTGCACGTGCACTCCGTCGTATTAGCGGCCCGAGCAAACACCTTCTTGTATCTCGTCCCGGTTGGACTGCGCATACCCGGTGTCAGAAAGATTTCTCTACATCAACATATCCCGGTTTCCTTAATACATATATTCAAAAGCTTCGATGTTTGCTTAAGCAGCTAGGCCGCGCTGCTCTGCCTAAGTAGCGAGGGTAACTAAAGGCAACTCAAGTATCCAGAACTGCAACCCGATTTCTTGTCCTCGAGATCGTTAAATCGCCATGTAAGTAAACCCATCGAACCAGAAGAGTGCAGTGTCTCTTATACATTATACTCTAAAGAATTTAAATTCACACGAAGCTCCGCAGTCCGGTGATCACCGATAATTGCGGAACCCGTAAATTTAACGGAAATCGAATATTCAAAACATTATTTCGTAACCATTCAAGTTAACTTTCATTAATGCAATTATGCGAATTCACATTATAACTCTCTGTTCTTAACACGCGAATTTCCACGATCCACGAATAAACATGTAGCCTTCTAGGAAGGACAAAACGAACTGTAAAATAAACGTCCGTAAATCCAGTATTAAAAATAATAAGAAGATGAATGCCAAACTTTACCCAGTATCGGCAGTAACTCGACAAAAGCGTAAGGAAAGTACGGTGATTCCGAGCAGTTAATAATCACTTCCATTCTCCAAAGAAGATCAAACGACGCAAGGAATGCTCAAGATTCTCGGGAGCAGCCCCGATACGCGTAACCGGTAATTAGAAGGCGCCGGGGACGTTATTATTAAGCATGCAGAAAGTTTACGGTCCGCGACACCGGGGCAGGGAACGGAAACTTTCCTCGGCCCGCGGCCCGACGTCGCTGCTCCTGCAATTTTTTTACATAACATGTTTATTAATCACGAGTTACATCGCGTTCCCCAAGTTTCGCGTCGCCGGGAGTGACAGCGCGGCGGGGAGTGGGTCGGCGGTTCGAGGCGGAAAAATCAGAACGCTGTCGGGAAAGAACGGCTGGGCGGGACTTTAAAAGCGGACGGCAATTCCGGGGTCAAAGGCTTCGCGGACAGCAGGATATCGACACGCCGCGAGAGGACTGCGGCCGATAGGGCGAAAATACATTGTACGTTCTTATGTGCACGCCGTAACCGTACGTCCGGCTTTCCTAACGCGGCGTCCGTGCGCTCCGCGAAAATAAAAAGCCGAACGGCGTGGCCAGGATTGAAACGGTCTCGCAAATATCCTCGCGACGACGCGACGCGACGCTCTCCCTTGTCTCGAGAGATGTCGGCCGCTCGCTCTCCTACTCTAGGGTCCATTCCCGGCATACCTGACCGCAACGGACAACCGGACGAATTCCTTCTTGCCCAGCAGGTACACGGCTTTCCATCGTGATTTCAGTGGAGTCCGGAAGAAGAATATTTTTAACGCTTGGAGAGACTGCTCCTAGTAACCATTTGACGCGAGACAATTGGAAAATGATGTTCAAGGTTAACTAGATTCACGAAGTCAATTTGATATTGAAATTGAATTGTTTAAATATTATTCAGTAGCGGTTCAAGTTGATTTTGAGTCGCAATTATGCGAATACGCATTAAGATACTCTGGGTTTGAAGCTACAAGTTTCGCGATTTATATAGACGAACGTGTGGTTTTTAGGAACAGTAGAATAATGTAGAATAAACGTCCGTAGGTGTAGTATTTATTTAATGTAATGTACTTGGATATGAAGCATCGGAATGATGCTTTGATTCGTATGTTATTTCTGCTTAACGCAGACAAAAGTTCATTAATCCATGTTCTATTAAAAGGTTATGAATATACGTAACGAGAAAATATTCGAGTACAAAGAACAATGGTACTATGTGGAAATAATGAAGGAAAGTCGTGTTTGATACTTGGATTAACGGGATGGACGTTCGGGGATTATTTGAGTATCCCTTGATGTTGGGGTTCGAACAT